CTCTAGTTGAGCGCCCTGGGGGTCGCGGCCCCGCCGAGCGCGCGGAGCCGCCGCGCGGGTTCGCGGCGCGCGGCAACGGCCCGCGGGCCGTGATTGGCCGCCGTGTTGCTGTCCGGGCAGAGCGGCGCGCCCATTGGAGGGCGGCGCGGAGCCCGCAGCCAATGGCGGCGCGGCTGCGCCGGGCCCCGGCGCGCCCCCGCCCCGCCGAGCCGCGTCCGCCCCAAACAATGAATGGGAGCGGCGAGCGCTGAGCGCGGCCCCCGGCGCGGAGGGCATCGCTGCCCGGCCGGCCACCCGGCAAGGATGCCGAGGGCAGGGCAGGCGCGCCGGTCCCTGGGGCTGCCGCGTGTCTTCTCCTTCTGTTTGTTCTTGCACAGCTCCTCCGCTCAGATCCGGTACAGCATCCCGGAGGAGCTCACCCGGGGTGCCTTTGTAGGCAATATCGCAAAGGACCTGGGCACCGATGTGGCGAAGCTGGCGGCAGCTAATCTGCAGGTACTGTCAGATTCGGATTCCCAGTACTTCTCTGTCAATGTGAACACCGGTGTTATAATGGTCAGCGAGCGGATAGACCGGGAGCAGCTCTGCGGGCAGAACCCACGCTGCTTCCTCCACTTGAAACTTGCCATCGAGAACCCAGTGGAATTTTACCGCATTGAGGTGGAGATCCTGGATATCAATGACAACCCCCCGGAGTTCCCTAGTGATGAGGTTTCCCTGCGCATCTACGAGCTGGCGTCTCTGGGTGCCCGCTTCCCCATCCAGCCTGCCCAGGACCCTGACGTGGGCACCAACACCTTGCAGACCTATCACTTGAGTGCCAATGACAACTTCAACCTCAATGTGAAGGCACGCACTGATGGTGGGAAGTTCCCTGAGCTGGTGTTGGAGCGGGCCCTGGATCGGGAATTCAGAGCTTTCCATCACTTGGTCCTGACTGCTGAAGACGGGGGCTCTCCCCCACAGTCCAGCAAGATACGCATCACTATTCAGGTCCTGGATGCCAATGACAACCACCCTGTCTTTGACCGACCATCATATGGAGCCCGCTTGGTGGAGAACTCGCCGCTGGGCACCCTCGTGGTGAAGTTAAATGCCACCGATGTGGACGAAGGACCCAACGGAGACATCCGCTACTCCCTCAGCAGCCACAACTCGGCTGCCTTACGCCAGATCTTCGCCATCGATGAGCAAACTGGAGAGATTCGTGTCCAGGGCAACCTTGACTTCGAGGAGGCGACGGTGTACGAGATCGAAGTGGAGGCCAAGGACATGGGGTCGCCCACGATGGAGGAGCACTGCAGTGTGGTGGTGGAAGTCACTGATGTGAATGACAATGCACCCGAGGTCATTCTTACCTCCTTCTCCAGCTCCCTGAGTGAGGATGCACTGCCGGGCACAGTGGTGGCTGTGATACACGTCAGAGACAGGGACTCTGGGGAGCAGGGCAAGGTCCTGTGCCACGTGTCACCAGATCTTCCCTTCCAGCTGCGCAAGGACTACGAGCACCAGTACTCACTGCTAACCAGCACCCGTTTGGACCGGGAACATGTTGCCTACTACAATGTCACCGTCTCTGCCTCGGACCTGGGCAATCCCCCACTCTCCCGCCACACCATCTTGCCAATCACCCTGACAGATGTCAATGACAACGCTCCCCAGTTTGAGCAGGCATCCTATGAAGTGCTGGTGGCAGAAAACAATCCAGTGGGGAGTGTGCTGGTTACGGTCTCAGCTGCTGACCCTGACTCGGAGCAGAATTCCCGCCTCTCCTACTCCATCCTGCGAGCTGGTGGGACAGATCCAGGCCTGGATCCTACTCGCTACCTCTCCATACATCCCACGAGTGGGCAGGTCACTGCCAAGTTCCCTTTTGACTATGAGCAAACCACCTATCTCCAGTTCCATGTGGAGGTCTCTGATGGTGGCTCCCCGGCCCTGAGGAACAGGACGCTGGTTCATGTTTTTATAGTGGACCAGAACGACAATGCCCCACAGGTGCATTTCCCCAGGGCTGGGGAGGACTCTGCTGCTCAGTTCCGCATTTCCCCCTCCATCGCGCCTCCTGCTCTCATCACCAAGGTGGTGGCAATAGATGCAGACTCGGGGCGCAATGCCTGGCTATCCTACCACCTCGTGGAAGCCACAGACCTGGGGCTTTTCAGCGTGGCCCTGCGTTCCGGGGAGGTCCGGATCACACGGGCTCTGCAGGACACGGACGCCTCTGCGCACGAACTGCTGGTGGTGGTCCGGGACGCCGGGGAACCCCCACTCTCCACAGCCGTCACTCTGGTGGTGCTGGTGGAGGAGAAGGGTCCAGAGGCCCTGCAGGGCTCCGAGGGTCGGGCTGCTGACGGTGGGGGATTGCCCACTATTACGCTTTACCTGATTGTATCCCTAGTGCTCATCTCCACCGTCTCGCTGGTGGGACTGGCGGTGCTGGGCGTACGGTGCCTCCGGCGGGGCTCTGCACCTGCCAACCAGGGCTGCTGCGTGGAGAGCGTGAACACGCTTCAGCCCCCTCCCAGCCACATTTTTGGGCACTTGCACTATGAGCCTAAGCAAGGGGACACCGTGATGGGCGTGCAGGTGACGGCAACAGCTCCCCCCGCCCCGCGTTACCGCTCCTGCTTCTCGCCGGTCTCGGATATCAGCGAGTTCATGTTTGTGAAACCCTGCGCGGATCCTCCTCCCCTGTACAGCGAGGTGAGATTGGGAGTGTGTTCTCCAGCCTGACCGCAGCCTCGGTGTGTGCGGGGCTCGGCACCGAACCGGCTCGGGATGCGGGACCCCAGCCGGCTTTGGGCAGGGGGTGCGGCCGGTGCCCGCTGCCAGCAGCCGGGCAGGGCGGAGCGGGGTTCCCGCTGCCGGGAGTCCCCGGCGCCCTCCCGGCGCTGCGGGGGCGGAGTGGCGGCGGCGGGGGAAGGGGGGGGGCTACGCCGTGCGTATTTTGGGGAAGGCGGTGAGAAGGAGAAGGGGAGGAGGAGGGAGAGAAAAAGGAGGAGGAGGAGGAGGAGGGGGCTGTGGAGAGACGTAAAACTGTCACTCGGTCCATCCCCTCCGCTCGCCGACTTTGTGTGTCTTTGCGAACCGAGAAGCGGTTCATCCGGCCGGGCTGCGCTCGCCCCCCCCCGCCCCCTCCATCCTTCCCTGTCCGGCTCCGGCGGCTCCGGCGGCGGCTTCCTCCCTGCACAGCCCGCTCGGAGCTCCCAGGGGCGCGGGGGTTCCGGCGGCCGGGGCCGGCAGCGGGGGCGGGGAGGCGGGGGAGGCTGCGCGGAGCCGCCGCCGCTCCGCTCCGCGCGGCTCCGTTCGCACACCCGGCACGGGATGCTCGCGGGACGGAGTTTGCCATGGCAGCTCCCGCTGCTGCTCGCAGCTCTCTCCTGCTTGGCGGCTCCCAGCTGCGCCCAGCTCCACTACTCCGTGCCCGAGGATCGAGAGCCGGGCTTCTCTGTGGGCGACCTGGCCAAGGACCTAGGGGTGGAGGTGCGGAGCCTGGCCGCCCGCAACCTGCGCTTGGTGAGCGAGGGTGGGCAGCGGCACTTCCAGGTGGACCTGGCGGCAGGTGTGCTGCTCCTCGACAGCAGGCTGGACCGGGAGGCACTGTGTGGGCAGAGCCCCACGTGCTCCCTGCACCTCCAACTCGTCATGGAGAATCCCCTCCAGCTCCACCGTGTTGAGGTGGATGTCCTCGACGTGAATGACAACGCGCCCCAGTTCCCCAAGCCGGAGGTGGTGCTGGAGGTCACTGAGGTAGCCAACCCTGGGACTCGGCTGCCCTTGGAGGTAGCAGAAGACCCGGATATGGGCTCCAACTCCATCTCCACCTATGAGCTCAGCCCCAGCAAGCATTTTGCCCTGAGCATCAATGTGAGAGGAGATGGTGTTAAAATGCCTGAGATTGTACTTGAAAAAGCACTGGATAGAGAGAAAGTGCCTGTTCATCATCTAACACTGACAGCCCTGGATGGAGGGAATCCAGTGAAATCTGGCACTGCTAAGGTTACTATCCATATCCTGGATGCAAATGACAACCCTCCTGTCTGTGACCCACCCATATCCAAGGTACATCTGGAGGAGAATGTGCCAGTGGGCACTCTGGTCACCAGGTTGAATGTCACTGACCTGGATGAAGGTCCCAACGGGGATGTGGAATATTCATTCAAAACCAGCAATAACGCACCTGGTAAATTCACCAAGCTGTTCTCCTTAGATCCCCGGACAGGGGAGATCAGAACCAAAGCCCCGCTGGATTATGAGGAATCCAGTGCTTTTGAGATTGCGGTTCGAGCCAGGGACAAGGGATCCCCAGCCATGGAAGGCCACTGTCACCTGCGAGTGGAGTTAATTGATATCAACGATAACAGCCCAGAGATTGTGCTGACCTCTGTCTCCAGCCCAGTGCAGGAAGATGCAACCCCAGGCACTGTGATTGCCCTCATCGGTGTGAAGGACAGCGATTCCGGTGACAACGGGCAGGTCCGTCTGCAGATAGCGAAAGAGCTCCCATTTAAACTGGTGTCATCTTTTAAAGAGCATTTCTCACTGGTCACAAGTGGTCCCCTTGATCGGGAGAAGGCCAGTGGATACAACATCACAGTGAGGGCTGTGGATTCTGGGTCCCCCCAGAGGGCCACACAAAAAACCTTTTACCTCCGCATTGCTGACGTGAATGATAACGCCCCGAATTTCTCCAGCCCTTTTGATACAGCTCACGTTCAGGAAAACTCCCTTCCTGGAACTTCTGTCTTTTCAGTGTCAGCATCTGATCCTGATGAGGGTAGCAATGCCAAGCTGTCTTACTCCATCCTGGATAATGGGATGCAGGATGTACCCGTCTCAACCTACTTCCGAATAGACCAGGACAACGGCACCATCTACACCGTGCGAGCTCTGGATTACGAACAGGACAAGGTGTTCCAGGTGCCTGTGGAGGTGAAGGATGCTGGGTCTCCTGTGCTGAGTAGCACTGCTGTGGTTCATGTGTTCGTCCTGGATGAGAACGACAATGCTCCCAACATTGTCTATCCCTCTGTCCCCAAAGGCTCTGCCTTCCACCAGGCTATCCCGGCCCTGGCAGAGCCTGGCTATCTGGTCACCAAAGTTGTAGCAGTTGATGCTGATAGTGGCCATAATGCCTGGCTGTCCTACCAGCTGCAGGAGACGGCTGAGGCTTTGCCTTTCCAAGTGGAACGCCGCTCTGGAGAGATAAGGCTTGCACAGGCTCTCAGGGAGTCAGAAGATTCCCACAGGCTGGTGGTCGAAGTGAGGGACAATGGCACACCGTCCCTCTCGGCCTCCGTGGTAATAGTCATTTCTCCGGAGGAAAACAGCGTGCAGGACTTCTCCAAGTCCTTGGACCTCCCGCAGTCTTCTCCCAAGGATACCAACATAACGCTTTACCTCATCATCTCCTTGGTGTCCATTTCCCTTGTGTCCTGCGTGATGTTTGCTCTGGCGGCTGCCCGGTGCCTCAAAGCTGGCAGTGCCAGCTGGACCTTGGCGGGTTGCTGCCGGGGGACTGGCCGCAAGCCCGCCTCCCATTTCCGAGGGCAGATGAAGCCAGATGGCTTCATCAAGTACCTGGACGTGGGAGGAGCGGGTTTGACCTCCCAGGCACAGAATTACACCTCTTGTTTCTCGCCCATGTCTGACCAGAGCGATTTCCTCTTTGTAAAGCCTTTCAGCCATTCTAGCACAGCGGAGACCGTGGCTGCCTATGAGCAGGTGACCAGCACCTTAGCGAGTCCCTGCGATGGGGTAAGAGATGGGTGTTTCTCACTGTCCTCTCTGCTAAGTGCAACAGTCTGCAATATCCAGGCCAGCTGGCTCTTCTCTGTCTGCCCTTCCTCCTAAGAAAGTGGCCTCGGGGAATGTGTGTCACCATCACCTCCTGGGAGGTGGCAGGTGAAAGTTTTGGCTGGGCTTGGTGGAGCTGGGGAACGGGGCTGAGCAGCACTATAGAATCAAAGACAGCGTGTTTGTGGCAGTGGAGAGTTTCCTCTTGGCCCCGTTCGTACTCATTTCTTTTTGAAGTGATTCTTAGCGTGGTCAGGGACATGTTTTTTGGGGGGGGATTAACTTCTTGATTCCATTTAACCCCGTTGTTCTGCACGGCATACAAACCATGACACGGGAGATGTTACGTGGAAGAAAAGTCTGTCAGTGTTTCTCTTGCTCAGTTTTAGAGGTGCATTGTAGAAATTTCTCATTTCTTAACCTCCAAGTGTTATTAATTACTGACTGTGCCCCAGCAAGGGATCATTTTTCAGCTTGGGCAAGGGGCTGAATTCACTATTCAGCACCGAACTACCGGAATGTCAGTAGTGACATTATTCACAAAGATCCTGGTAACCTTATGTGCCCTTGGGCTTGCAGAGGCTGAGGCAGCGGCAAGCTTTGAAAACTTGAGCTACTTGTACTCAGATGCCTAAATATAGATGTAGGTGACTGTGTTTAGCTGTAGCTTTTATAACTTGGGGATATAAAAAGTAACGCAATTTTGTGTCACAAATGCCTGCCCTAAATTTGAAAATGGTAATTACAACAGGAGCTCAAAATATAGATTGGGAAGGGCTTCTTTAGTGCAGGATTGTGTGTCAGCGTGTGCAAAAATGTGTATCTGAAATCTGGAGGGCAAGTATTTAAACAGCTTCATTTGCATGCGGCTTGGGGACCACTGGGGCATCTCTTTCAGGGGAGTAATTTATTCTAATATCTTCTTTCATGAGGATCATCAAAGCTGCAGAGAAATTAATAAAAGCACATCTACTAAATAAAAAATCTAGGTCAGCTCTGCCCTGTCTTCACTTTTCCTTAGTAATTGCATGTACAAGCAGAATAATCCTATAAAACTGATGTTCCATTGTGTGGACTATGAACGGCTCATTCCTAAAATAGCTGAGAGAAGTGTTGTCCTTTCCAGGTAGTATGTCATCACTCTGGAGTTAATCAAGATGTAATTATTATTATTTAATTATTTAATTAAGAGTTCATTATGATTTTCGGAAGTGTGTGTCTTCCAGACAGAAAACAGCTCTGCTATTTAGTGTTTTCCACAAAGGCGTAATTCAAACAGGAATAAGCAAACATGCTCCATGTCCTTCCTTATTTACAAAATGTTCATTGTCTGGTGGTAAAATAACATGGGCAGAAAGTGATAGGGGGGCTTCTTAATGAGGTTACAAAGTGTGCTGTTGTGTCTGAAGGTTTTTGTGTCTCCTAAACAAATAATGCTTTTTCCTCTTGCTGTCGGAAGTTCATTCTTTTCTCTGTGGACAGAAAAATATTGTCGTGCTCCAAGGCCACAGCATCTAGGAAAAGTCATTCAAATACAATGTATGAAAATAAGATCTCAGGCAGGGGCTTTTTTAAGGACAGTAGAAGGAGAGATTAGGAAGGTCTGTTGCCATTTTACCTTAGAGCATTAAAAGCATCTTTCTCAGTATCAATTAACTCTGCCACCCCCACACATCCCCTTCCTCCTCCAAGCTCATTACTGTGGTACCACTGCTCCTGCTGAATTGATGCCCTTATCAGTTTATTTCATGCTTCATTTCTTTCACAGCCTGGTTTCCTGAGCTGCTTTGGAAGATCATTCCCTGAACAGTTTTTGTCATGCTTTTCAGTATTCATGCTGGTTCAGAAATACTCAAGAAAGAGGGAGGGGGAGCTTTCTCTTTGTTCTAATTGATTTGCTTCACTAGGAAAGAACATGCTGATATTCCAGACTGAAATAATCCAGGATCAGCTCGCTTTCATTTTTCAAAGGAAAGAATGGAGGTATTAAAACTCTTATTTTTCTCTGCAGCAAGCTCAGCCCAACACAGACTGGCGCTTCTCTCAGACCCAGAGACCTGGAACAAGTGGGTAAGTGCCTCTTTCTCCATTTTTGTGTGGGGTGAAGGTTTCTTTCCTTTGTGTGCCACTTTCAGTGGTGGAAAGTCCCTGACTGGCAGCTCTGAGAATGGGTGTCCCCTGTCATTGATAGAGTCAGAAACAGAGCTGCTCCTGTGTCAGCTGTGTGTGGTGGGGGTGTGACAGCTGTTGTTGGCAGTGGTGTGTCTGGGTTTGGTGTCTACACCTCAAGGAGGACAGTCAGGAACTGGAGAAAACTCCAGGTGAAGTTGCGAGATGGTTAAAGGACTAGAAAATATGTTTCACAGAGAAAGGCCTCTTCTCTAAAGCAGATTTTGAGCATGTAAACTAGATTTTGAGTCCAAATTCTTAATTCCTCTCCTTGCACAGAGGCCACTGGGAATCCCTGGAAATCTCTCCCCTTACCAGTCCTGGAGCCTTGAGCTCTGTGCTGCTGAAGTGTATTCACAGCATCACAGAATGGGTCGGGTTGGAAGGGGCCACAGTGGGTCACCTGGCCCAGCCTCCCTGCTCAGGCAGGGTCATCCTGGAACACATGGCATAGAATTGTGTCCTGACAGGTCTGGAATATCTCCAGGGAGGGAGACTCCACCACCTCTCTGTGAGGTGTGTGTGAGGTCAGAGAGGATGAGAAGCCCCAGCAGCAGAGCAGAGACCTGCCTCCCAAGTGAGTATTCCTGTCTTGCCTCTGGCCCAACAAAGTTTGCTTGTCTTGGGCCACAGTGAGAGGCCACTGACAACCAAATGTTGTTCTTTGCCTCTCCCATCTTCCCTCCTGGTTCATAAGCAGGGCCAGGGCTCCTCTTCAGAGGGTGAACTCCCTTCAGTACCATGAGGATAAGGAAGAACTTGAACTGGGAGTTCGACCCCTAGCCAGAGGTTATTGTGCATGAGGAGGAGGCTCCAGGATAATTTACATGTGAAAAGATGATATCTTTTGGGGCATACCCAAAGATTATACCCTTGGAGCAATCGGGAGTAAATTGGATGATGTGCTTCCTCGTCTGACTGGGTCAGGCAGTGTGTCTCTGTGCTTTGTCATTCCTGGTGGCCACTTGGGCAGCTCCCATGGAGGTTTAAATAGTGTCATGGAGGTGTTGGGTCCTGGATTTTGGTGTCAGAGCTTGCAGTTAAACATCTGCAGCGGCTGGTTCTGCCTGAGTCTTTCCCTAGGTCTGGCTCGATAATTTGGCTTATCAGAAAATTAAGAGATTGCTGTAGCCAACTTGTTGAAGTGATTAAACTTTGCTATTAGGCTCTTCTAGCTGATAAAGCTAAAATGGAGTGAGGATTTGATGTAATTAGATAAAGTGTTCTTGGTAGAAACCAGCCATGGACTTTAAAACAAAGCTATGGCTGGAAGAGTTTTCTCAGAGGTCTGTTGAATTCCCCATCAGTGACAACATTTTAATCAAGGAAAATCTTTCTAACCATTTCCGCTCCAGTTCAGATGGCAATTAACAAAGCCCTGTTAATGCAGAAGTGCACCACGGCTGCTGTAATAGTTTTGTTATGAGAAGGCAGTAAATGAGCCCCATCAGAGCAAGCTCTGCTGCTCCCTCTTCCAGCATCATGCTGGGGCTCTTCAAGGCGCAGAGCTGATGCAGTCCAGACTTCCTTAGCTCAGTGACAGGGGCCTTTTCTCAGGTCATGGGACAGTGACACTCACCCCAGCTCCCAGCCTCTGCCTGGAGCTCTTTACAAGCTCCATCCCCTTCCTGAGTGGGAGCAGCAGCGTGTGGAGTGGGAAGAGAGAGGGCAGGAGGAGAGGCGGCCTCAGACTATTTGTGGGGAGCTGAACTATCATGACATGTTAGTTCCGGTGCATGAGCCATGATGTTACCCCTGGGTGCCCATGATAGTCCCTGAAACAGCAGCTCTTAGAATCACAGAATTATTTGGGTTGGAAGGGACCTTAAAGCTCATCTCATTCTTTTCCCTGCCGTGGGCAGGGACACCTTCCCCTACAGCTCAGAGCCCCCTGTCAGTGCCTGTTGTGGCAGGGGATGCCATAGCATGGGCTAGACCCCTCGGGTAAAGGGACTTTGCCCAGGCACAGACTGGTGCTGAAAAACTGAAAAAACTCAGTGGATTTGAATCCCTGCTGGTTTTCCCACTTGCCTGTGTCCCCATCTGCAGCGAAACAGCTCTTGCTGATGTTTTTTTCCTGGTTCCTTTCATCCTGTTATAAGTTAAATCGAGGGGATGTTTTTATTCTAAACCTGTGGGACAGTACTAAAGGATGGAAATAGAAAGTGCTCCCATATGTTCAATGTCCAGCCCTGACATCTCTCTAGTGATCAAACAGGCAAATCCTGGAAAGCAGCCCACTCCCCTTTGTGCTCTTCTAGTGCTATTCCCAGCGTTTTGATGCCTGGTGTGTGAATTCCCCAGGCTCTGGTTGGTAGCACAGTTATTAAAGAGGGGGCAAGGGCAGCTGCCTGAGCCTGTTGCTCTCTGTTAAATCCTGTACAACTGCTTCTCCTGCTGACAGGTGAACCTCTGAAGCACCAAGAGCTCTCTGAACTGCAGGGCTCTGCTGGGAGCTTGGGGAACACAGCCCACCTCTTACCTGAAAAGAAAAAAAAGTGGGATGTGCTCTTAACTCTATTTGACCCAAATTAAACAGCAATACAAACACAGCAGCTTAGGCCAGTGGTTTGGATGGATCCCAGAGGGAGTCCAGCACTGACCCTAAGCCAGAAAGCAAGCTTAAACCCATGTTGTGATTTCTCCCTGGCTGTCTCCATGGGAGCTGGAGAAGAAACAATCCTGTCTTAGCTTAGCCCTGCCCATCAAAACAAATCCCACATGTCTCTGAGCACCTGGAACTAGGCAGAACAGGGAAAGCTCAGTAAGACAGGGACTGGCTCTTGATCTCCAACGTTGTTGCTACGGGACAACAAAGGGAATCTGCTCTTTGTTCTGAAACGCGGGAGAGGAGCTCTGGTGCACATGCTCAGGAAATAGGAGCTCAGACAGTCTGCTCTGAAAATGTGGTAGGGAGGCAGACCTGAGCAAAGCAATTCTGAATTAATCTTGTTTGGGAAAAACAGGAGGATAGATTAATTTAATGATGCTCATGTTTTGTTTTCTAAGAAAACAAAGCACCCATGCTGTCGCTGGGCAAATGTAAATGAGTCCAGGCTGATTCCGAGCAGCAGATGCCACTCCCAGACAAATCAGATCAGTGGCTGAAGTGGAGATTACAACAATGAATTATCCAATGAGGAGTAAATGTACAGTCCAGCATCGTGGCAGGATATCCCAGTGGGGTCATCAGTGTGGGATTTCCCTGTGAGGAGGGGGGATCGTGTGTGTGGGGAGAACACAGAGACTGGTACGAGGGACCCATCTTGTTGTTTTGTTTTGATTTTTGTTGTGCCTTGCGCATTCATGGTACTTGCCTGACCACAGCTGCTCTTTGTTTTGATCTGTGTGTGATGGTTTGTCCAGGAAAACACCTGGCTGAAGTCAGGATTTCCTTCCCGGAGGAGTGGGGAGGGCTCTGTGTCGCTCACAGGTGGGCACGGGAGGGTGGGAAGAGCCGGTATGTCCTGGGCATCTTGTGGGGGGAGTGAGGACAATTCTGGGCTCTATGGACAGGCTGGAAGGAGATCCCGGGCAGGAGACACCCCAGAGACTGTGGCAGGGGACTCACCAGGAGGTGGGAAGCTGTGTGAATATCCCTAGCAACCCCAGGGGAGGGAGGAGCAAAGCATGTAAAGCAGATACAGAGTGCCATTTCACATCCCCTTCTATTTATCTTCTCCAATCCTGAATCTCCCTTTGTTAATGCTTCCCAAAGCTGTTGCTGGCCAGGCTTCCCCTCCCAGGCTGAACACAGCCAATAGTGATGTTCACTTCACTTGCTCATTAAGCAGCATCTTGGCTGCTTTGTCTGACCCCGTCCCTCGTTCCCCCCCACACCCAAGGGGTTTGGGGCTGATAGTGGAGATGCTGCAGCAGAGCCCACAGGAGAGCCAGGAAGGAAAAGAGGGATTTTTTTTCATTCTTTATTTTGTTTTCATGCAAGAACTCCAAGAGTTGGGCTTGCAGGACTAACCAGAGCCTGCCTGTGTGTGCTGGGAGACAGGGAGGGGAGTAAAGGTGTCCCAAGAAGCTCTCAGGAGAATTCTTGGGGCTCAAAGCATGCAAGTACTACCAAGGGGGGGATTGTGGTGTGGTTTTTGGGGTGCTCAGGATGTCCTGCGTGACATGTGTGTGTCTGGGTGGGACAGAGGATGAGACAGAGGGAGACACGGATGTTCATGGGCTTACACAGCACGGGGGTGGATACCCAGCACAGAGACAACTGGCCACAACTGCTGGCTTTACCCACATCCTTCCTAAAAATAAACACTTGCTAACCCAGGAGCCACAGGGATGTCTGTGGGTGTTGTAAACCTCTAGGAATTTAAGTTGTGAGTTTGTGTTGTGTTATAGTGGAACTAGCAGCAAGCGCTCCCAAAGCACATGCACAGGGCCACCAGTGGGGCTGTACAGGTGAACACTGACCCCTTTACCTTCTCCTCATTCATGGAAAACATGTGGAAACATGCCAGGGCACATGCCAGGCAGAGGTGCTGGACAACTGCAGCTTCTCATTGACAGGGGCAAGAGGAGCAGCAGAGAGAACTGCCACTGTGGGAAGTTTAGGAAATAATTATAATCCTCAGGTTTCCATCCCAAATGTGCCCAAGGGTTGAAGCCAGCAGTGGTATTTGCTTTGCCTGGTGTGGTTCCACATGTTTTGCTGGTGAATTAGAAAGGTCTTTGGGCTGAAATTCTTGCTTCTTCTGACTGGGTTGTTTTTGCCTGCCTGTTCAGTATTGAGAATTTAGTGACTCCTCAGCTCCTGCAGCATGTGGAGTGTGGGGCTGCTCTAAACTGCCACCCCAAGGCCTTGGGAAGGTGTGAGTGGAGCCCTGCAGCTTGAAAAATCACAGCAGCCTCTGGAGATCCCTTTGAGGTCATTTGGGGGAACAGCC